TCCATTGGTGAGCCGCCGGCCACACAATAGCCACTGCCCACCCACCCCCCTGAGTTGTCGTGACCAGAAAAGGGGCGTAACGGGGCCTGTTCTGGACACTGGAACCAGCTGCTAGGGGTGATGCTGACAGCAACAGCACCCAACGCTGGAGGGAGTAGCCCCTATTCCTCCTTTTGCATTCTCTCTCTCTCTCTCTCTCTCTCTCTCTCTCTCTCTCTCTCTCTCTCTCTCTCTCTCTCGCAGCCCCTTGGTAGAACCTAACAGGAAGCCAGGTGGCAAAGGAGAATGTGGTTTTCAGGGTCCTGTCCCCAACATTGCAGAGTATGGGGGTGAAGGGGTTGGGGGTGAGAGACAGTGTCCGGCGCAGGCCCTCTAGCAAAAGAGGATTGGTCTCCATATGCCACACAGTTGTTTCCAGATCACCCTTGACCCCTTGGTAATTTGTATTAGTTTCCCTCCCCCCTCATTGGCCCCAGCTTCTGGCGTCTTGATGGTGACATTGGGGCAGGGCAGGCGAGGGGGGAGGGAAACTGGTAGAAGTTACCTTTTACACTTTTTGTTTTTAGGAGGTTTGGTTTATGCTACCTGGTCCCTTACCTCTGATAACCCTGCATTTTCGGTTCTCTTGGTAGGAGCTTAATCTCAAGGTGTCGCCCCCCCTTAATGGTAGATTAAGCATTGCTCATACTATCCCCTGAATCCCTCCTCTCACATGTCCTATTTCTCAGAGGTTCTGCTTGGAGGTGTATGGGTGTTGACTCCTGAACTCTGTTTGAGATCTCTGATTTAGAAGTGCATTACTTCTGGGAGATTCATCCTGGCTGATGTATACGCACTTGCTCCTTTTCTGAGGGAACAAGATTGTGGTCAGGCTGAGTCTGCAGAGATACTTGGGCCGGTGAACCCCTGGGGAGTGTAACCAAGTGCAACACAGCAGTTTGGCCTCTTTTCCAGTTCATCTACTGTGAGTTGGCCTCGTTTCCATGTTGTCTTTCCCAGCACGGACTAATTCAATCATCAGGCTCTCCTCTGTAAGGTTCAAGGGGAAGTCACTGCATTCTTTGCCCTAACTGATGCCTCAGCACTGGCAGAAACAAGGTCATGAAGCCTGTTTCTGAGGACCTTCTAGACTCTGCCCATGGCTACTGTTCTCAGAAAGCCGGGGGGAAGGTGTGGTTTTGTGTCCTGCTCTGCTACCTGATTTCCTTCACTGGTTTTTAGGATCCATTTTGTAATCCATCAGCCATCACAGCTGCAGGCCACACGATGGCCACTCCTACACTTAAGCTGTCATTAGAAGAGAGGAAAAAAAAATTAAGTCCTCAGTGAAACACAGAGTGGTTCATCCAAGAGCCCTGTGGTGGGGGAGGCCCTTGGTGGCCTGAGCACGGCTCTCAGCCCGAGGATCTGGGAGGCTGGAGGAGGACCACAGACCATTTTCCTGACTTCAGAGGCTGAACAGACACCAGTGTGTGCACACAGTGAGGCTGCACAGGCTTACCAAACTGTGAAGCTTATTTGCCTCTGATTCAAATTACATAAGCTCCCCGTGGGAATCTTGGTTATCCCATGTGCATCTGAAACTCCCTTTGGCACTTGTATGTCTAAGAGAAGATCAGCAAATGAATTATTAAGGCCGGTTGATAACAAAATCCTTCAAAATATGTTTTGTGAGGGGAAACAAAGTGCGACGATTCCTGAAAATGGTGTACAGATGAGGCAGCCCCGATGTTCAGACAATCAGGATTAGAATCCCCCAAACTTAAGTTTCTTGCTAAGTTCTCAGTTAACACCGCAGTTTTGAACTGACCCAAGATAATGCCCACTTCTCTTATTAACACAAAATGACCTTTCAGGGAAGTTAGTCCCCCACATCGGAAGGTGGATTTTTCAGACTCTCATCTGGAGCAAGTAGGAACCATGAGGCAATTCCACCAGCATTTCAGGGCCTTGGCTTAATATCTCCAGCCTTCCTTTCACCAAGAAGCTATGTTGCTACTTGATGAACCATTTCTTCTCATTATTCTACAGCCTGTGCAGTTGGGGCAGGACCATGTCACCCCAGCTGCTAGGATGCTGTCCTCTTGGACACAAGGAGGGCAGCATTTGGTCCTCAGGCAGCTAAACACAATGGCGTGGATCTATCTGTCCGCAAGGAGAGACCATTTTCTGACTTAATCTTAGTCTGGACCTGGTTTTCCACATGAATAGATTCTGATGTAACTTCTGATTAGGACCACTTTGGTACTTGGATAAAAATGAGTTATGTAGCAATTTGACAAGTGCTACAAAGATTGATTGTCCCTGGCAGCTATTAGAGGTTTCTTCTGATGCTAATGAGACATTGACTAGCACTCTTCTACCATCTTGGTTTCCTCTTTCCTTAAGTGGGATGATATATTACTATATTGGAGAGCTCCAGCTTGGGAAATGGGGTGTTTCTCTGGTTCTAACGAGCATGTGCTCACGGCTTATGAAACAGGAGTAGGAATCACACGAACTTGGAGTTGCATTCTGGCTCTGTTACCTGGCTGTGCAACCTTGGTCATGCTACTCAACTGTTAAGAGCCTCAGTTTTGCATCTTTAAAATGTGGCACATACCTGTCTTGCAGGACTGTGATGAGGAAATAATGTGACAGCACGAGCTCAGTACCAGGTACAGTTACACAAACAGGTTGCCAGGAGTGATGCTCAAAGGTTTTGAGTGGAGTGAAGGCAGCGCCCACTTTAGGGAAAGCCACTATGTTGGTTTGTCACTGGCATTGATTTTGACTTTTCCATCTTCCTATTTGAGTGGCAGAGCGTTGAATTAGAATGTGGAGCATGGCTTTGGTGTCAGATGAGGTTTAAATGTTGGTCTTCCATGTTTATTAATTACATGGCTCTCTAACCTATTTCCTCAGGTCTAAACGCTGAGAGCTGTTGTGAGGATGAGCACTGATGCATGTGAAGTGCCCTGCACTGTATTGACACTCAGGAGGGACTCACTGATGATGCTATTTTTTTTTTAATTGGGGAACAGTGTGTTTTTCCAGGACCAAGTCAAGTAGTTGTTTCAGTCTAGTTGTGGAGGGCATGGGGATCAAATCAGCAACCTTTGTGTTGTGAGCACTGCACTCTAACCAACTGAGCTAACTGGCCACCCTGATGATGCCATTTTTACCCATGCAGTCTTGGGTCTCCAATCTTCATATTGTAGAATAATTGTTTGTGGAAGGAATGGATGAAGCAGCAATCTCAGACATGGAGCATATATTCAAAGGCAGGCATCATAAATTATTTGAAGGTTTAAAAGAATAGACAAATCTTTATAAGTGGTATTTTTTTTGGAGCATTTTGTATTATATCTGAAGCTTAATTTATTATCTGATAAATATGGCAGTTTCATTGTCATTTCTTGCCAGTTCGATGAGTAAGGCTGTTGAGTAATTTTATAATGGAGAGCCCAGATCAGGTGTAGAATATTGAATAATTTATAAGAGATAATAGATTAAAAATTATTTACTACTTTCTTACATTTGGGGAAGTGAAATATATTTTAAAACCTTGAATATATTCTTAAGCAGAATTAGGCAAAAGGGGAAAAATTAAAATAAATAGATATGTAATTGACTATGAAAAGAATAGGCATGGGACATTGAATATGTCTAAGTCTACCAGTTATATATAGCTTCAAAAACAATTTCATGATAACATTAGTCACTCAGGACCAAAGTAAACAGTTCTAATAATCTTGAAAAAGTTTGTCACCAGCATTTTCCTGTTATCTATACTTAACGGTTATAAATCCATTTTAATTACAAGTAGTAAACAACACTTTGTTATACCACTTCAGTAAGCATAGCACCTAATACAGTATGACTTTGACACCTTTGAATTAAAAAATGACCAGAGAGAAATGAAGTTGATAATTACCTGGTGAGTTTAGGTTATGTGCTCAGTTTGAATCAATCGGATACCAAGGTGGATTTTGCACTCTGTTGGAGTATTAGCTGTGGGCCTCGGCCAATGATCAACAGATAATTGCCACTTTTATACTTCCGTCCTTTATAGGCTTGGGACTTACTGGCTGTTGCAATGAAGCAAAATCTCATATACATATGCATGCATTTGAAAGAGTTACAACTTTTAAATGGGTGAAACCACAATTATTCCCTAAAATGAGAAAATTCAGTGAAGCTGTTTGGATGTTTTCAGTTTGCTTTCTTCGTAGAATTACATGTTGAGCTCAGCCAGATACATTTGGATCTTGTTCAGCTTTTATTTTCTTTCCGAAAAGTGACTTATGTATGCTAACTAGTGCTTCACAGAAAACTTCCTGATCCTCTCAGACATGTGCCAAGGAATTCTAGTGGGATATGAATTCCTCTCTTGCAAGGAAAGAGGCTGTGCATTTTTAAAGTAGTGATTCCCTCCACAAACGGCCCTTTAAACATTTCCTCCTTCGTGTATAAAATGGCTGGAGCTTTTTTAGATTAAAAAAAAATGTAATTGGTGTGAACTCTTTTTGCACAAATTGTTCATGCCTGGAGTTATGCCACTGAACCAGCATGAGAAATACAAGATCATGGTGTGTTAAGACTGGAAGGGACCCTTGGAGTCATCTGGTCGACCCCATTTTTAACAGACGAGATACAGGCAGGCAACTTGCGCACGGGCCTGTCTGTCACAGAGGGGGCAGGTGGCACAGCCAAAACAAGAACCCAGGCTTCCTGATGCCCCATTTCCAATTTCAGCTGCCCTCACTTTTTCATTTCGTTTGACATTTGGGCCTTTTGGCATTTTCTGGGTCTGCACATTTTGGTAAGTAGAAAATTACCAACATTTTTGTGTATGAATGATTGAGGTGGAGCCAGAATACTATGTTACAGAAAGAAATACTAGATGGAAGAACTTGAAACAAACACACTTTAACTCAGAGTCCCTTTTCTCATAACCAAAAATGAAGTCTCTGACTATGAAACCAAATGGCTAATAGCAAATGTTTTTGACTTTTTAGAACAGAAGACTCGATAACAGAAGATGACAAGAGGAGGTATGTTTGGTGTTGAAGCTGGCTTTAATTTGAATAATTTTGGCCACACCTCATAGATTTAATTTAACCTGGATTAATTTCACTCACAAATTTAATTTAGCACTTGTAGCACACTACCAATAATATGGATTCCACCAGGAAAACATTTGGCACGGAGTATGTGATCCGAAAAAGAACTTGCCCAGGATTTATTATCTTCTTTCAAGCAAGTGTGGTGTTTGTCCGATGCACGTGGCCTGTAGCAATGTCCACCCTGTGGCTTTGGACGTGCTGTTCTCCCTGACTGGCTGGCTTCCCTTCATTCTCTCTGCCTTCTCCCTCCTCCCACCCCTCCTCTGCTTAACCACGCCCTCCTCTCATCACTCTTTAGCTCGCTCGCTCTCTATCCTAATTTTATGTTTATATCTGATCATATATATATATATTTATATACATATATATATATATATGTATATTTATATACATATATTTTTTTGATTGGGGAACAGTGTGTTTTTCCAGGACCCATCAGCTCCAAGTCAAGTATTTGTTTCAATCTAGTTGTGGAGGGTGCAGCTCAGTGGCCCATGTGGGGACCCAACCGGGCAACCTTGGTGTTATGGGCACCGCGCTCTAACCACCTGAGCTAACCAGCTGCCCCTAGATTAAATATTTTTGTGTGTCCATAGCACTGAATACCACTTTGGCCACTCTGAATTCTGAATAAATGTTACTTCTCACTCCACTGATATTTATTACTATACTAAATTATAACATCCCAACTTCTTTTTTTTCTCATGATAAGTAAAATATCTAAAAATTCTACTAACTCAGTGCAGCTTTTTATTATATATATAGCTTCTTTTTAACAGAAAAAAAAACCCAATTATATTTCCAAGGGTGATACCATTCTGAATTCTACTTTTGAAAAATCATTGTTCTGGTAATAACTCTATACTTGTTTGAAGTACTCCACACTATCACTTTCTGCAAATAATAGTACCGTTTAAATTGGTCTGATTTTTCTAGTATATCTCCTTCTTTTCATTAAGAAACTATGGAGGAGTGTATGTTGGTCTCCCATCTGAAGCTGTCAATATGGTATCCAATCAAACGAAGACTGTTCGAAAAAGTAAGTAAAACCATGTGATATTTATTTTCTCTAAGTATTTATTTTACATTTTCTGAAAAAATATGAAATTTATATTTTAGCTTGCTTGACTCAACCTACATATTACTGAGTGGCAGTGAACCATATATTAATGAATATAAGAACCATGTATCTATTCATTGTAATCATTTGTTGAAGTTGCCACCCATATGATATGAGTCATTCCAGAGCAAACGTTGGCTTCCATTTGTGGTTATGCTCTATGGGTATTTTTAATTTCTTGTTAATTTCAATGGTGATCAGTGTGAAAATGAAAGCTAATGTTTCAGTCAGTTTATGGAATTTCTGCAAAACATAAAGGTAAATTCTTGTAGTATATGATAAAGATGACTAACTGGTAGTCACTGGTGATTAGAGGGAAAATAACTGTGTATTATACAATAAATGAAGTGAGGCTCCTTTTTCTGAGTTTTAATAGTAATTGGGGGGTGAATGAAATCCTTTTGATAATAGGCATGATTGTAGCCTTGTAGGTAGCTTCTTGCTAAAGTAAATTTTTAAGTGAGCCTTGTGGTAAAGAAGGCTGGTTTATTAAGCTCTGTACACTTACTTCTCTCATGTATAATTTTAAAGGGCTATTAATATGTTTCATTTGCACAAAGACTGTATTACATTAATTTTTTTATTAAATTATTTTTTTATTATGAAATACACATTTTTAAGAATTAGTTTCAGCTGTACTGTATTACATTAATTTTAACATGCTTTAGTTATTTGTTCTTCATTGCTATTTCTCTACTTTATGATTTAGACTAGCAAATACATATATGTCACTACTATTTGTAGTTTTATAGGAAACTGAACATTTTTAAAAATTAACTTTTCTTAATTTTCTCTTTAAGATTAGAAGAAAATATTATGACAGTAATCAAGAGGTACTGTATATTTTTTTAAATAATTGTATATATTTAGCCTTGATGATGAATGAACTGTAGATATTATTGTTATGTGTTTGTAAGAAATCTTGGACTTCAAGATTAGGGAGGGGTCTCATGTTGTGGTTAAATCAAAGAAACTGAACACTTTTATTGTAAAGAGGTCTTTAATGATTAGATCAATTTTCTTTGCATTTTTATAAACAAATTTATTTTCTTTCAAATGAAGCTTAATTAGTTTGATAAGAACAAGCCAAGTTTTTACCAGAAACACTGAGGTTTTACTCTTTATTGAAAGAAATTTGGAAGGGCTAGTACCTTGGAAATGAGAGGCAGAGATGAGACAGGCTGGGGCTGGGAATTAGATTAGGATCAACATTAAGTGTGTGACAGTAGACAGAGGTTAGTTGGCATACATAAGGTGATGTATTAGTACCACAACTCTAATAGACGTGGGCAATTATCAGTGTACAGAGATGCAGTTATGCAGGCAGGAAGAGTAAAAGCATAGGCCAAGTTTACTGGTTTGGTATCATCAAACATCTTCAATACAGAAAGAAGGAAGTTGTCCAAAGGATGAAGCACTGTGGACCTGGGATCCTGGTAAAGAGCTTGGAGTTATAATAAGATGAACAAGGACAAGGACAGGAGAAAATAGCTTTCATTTGTTAACTACCCTTTGTGTACCAGCCTCAAAAAGATACCCAAGCGGCCTTTCCATAGTGGCAAAAATTCTCAGTTCACCTGGTCCAACAACGCATTTGGTGATTGGCTCCCCACTGTCTTTCAGTCTTGCTGAATGACGTCTGGTCTCCTTTGAACCTGCAGTGATCAGGAACGCTCTAGCTCCTGAGATTCCTGTGATAGCCCATTCTCTTTTGGGATCCAGACAGCCTTTGATTTGAATTCAGTCCCTTTCACTTAGTAGCTGGGCAAGTTACTTCCCCTTTGCAGCTTCCATTTTTTTTTTATCTGTTAAATGGAACTAATGCTTAGCTTGAAGGGTTGTTGTTAGGATTAATTATGAAATAAATGGGAGCTTCTGCTGTCATCGTTGTCATCCTCACCGTCATCGCTATTATCATCATCATTATCATGTTATTCCATTTTGTAACCAGCATCCAGCCATTGGCAGACCCAGAGCAAGACTGATTTGATACTGAACCAACTTCTTGTTGAGAGACAGGCAGTACTAGAGTTGGTGTTTGGGATGGGGAGCGAGTCATAGAAGAAGCTCACAGGTGGAGACACATGAGCCTTCCCACTGGGCGATGGCGACACAGGCTGTAACCAGTTTCTTCCTGGCAAGAAATAGAACAATCTTGGGTAGCTACTTCTTCGAAGACTTTCTAATCAAGGCAACAACATCGTGGAGCTTGATTCCCCGTTGCCCACGACCACATCAGGGTGTTGCGTTTCTCTTTAGGAGTTTGCTCGAAATTTTCTGTTTCCAATATTTTTAATAGAGTTCTAACCCTCCATGTAGACTTCTAAGTTCCATGCCAGTTTTCCCCTATGCACTAGTACTTTTATTATTTGCATCAAATAGGAAAGTTAATGTAGTTGAAAGTAAGCACTTCCTTAGTACCTTCCTGAAAACAGGGCCTATTTCAAAAGTCATGGGAACAGAGTGGAAAAAGGTGCCCTGTGGTTAAGGATCAGGGGACTCGGTAGCTCAATTAACACAGGACCTTAGTTGAATCCCACACCTTCTCTAAGCTTCTCTCAGTTTTAGTTTTCTCATGGGAGACAAGATGATTGCTAAATTTTGTGTGTAGATCTAAAATTCTCCGATAACAATTTGGCATTATTGCTGGTAAGCCAGCGCATATAACTTTAGACAGCTAGCTAGAATATTTCCTTACTGATCATGGCCATGAATATATAGTATTTTATTGCCATCCTCCTCTCTTCTCAATTTTCCCTATTTCTATATAATCAGTATGATCCTGGATTTTTCTCTTGCCTCCTTTGAATGACCTGAAAAGCTTTCTAAGTTGAAAGGCTGTCTGTTTTTTCCTAGTTGCTAACCACCCACTGTGGCACTTACCTGTAATACATCTGAACTCATGGCTTTCTGAGCTTAATTTTTTGGGCAGGACCCCTGATAAGAAGACTATTTTTTGGAGAAGACAACATTTTATGGAAAGGATTGGAGACACTTTTTTTTTTTGGCCTAACGTGTAAAATCTGTTTTGAAATAAAGTTGCTGAATTCACGCAATAACCAAAGTCCAAAGTTGACTTGGTTACTTTTTGAAACAAATTGAGGAGTTATTCCAGAATCTTTTAAAATTACTTACTATATCACAATATAAATGTGTAGTTTCTTCTACGGATGATTCGAGGGTGAAAGGTATGCCCTTTTAGATGTGTGGAGTATTGGATGGATTAGCTACATCAGAACCTCCCCTCTCCTAGGGGGAGCTTGACATGTGAATGGCCAGACCCCTCCCAGGAGGGTCTGCCCAAGTAGGGAAGCTATGGGATTGTGACTGAACAGCCTGCACCTTTAATTTAGGTGATATTGACATGCAGCTAGGTTTGGGCATTATCATGCTGTATTTTAATTGTAAGTTTATAAGTCTATTTCTCCACTTGACTTTGTCTCTTTATATAAGTATCATCAGTGGTTAGTGCTGTGCAGGGCACGTATTAAGTAATAAATATTAAGTGAATGTTGAATGTGTATTTTAAAAAGAAAATCAGCAAATAATTTATAGGCTTAAAGCTGATATGTATTTTTTGAAGTTGTACGTTTTCAAGCTTGCTAACCCTTTCTCCTTTTTTTGTTTGTTGTCTTCATAGCTTGCTCATCAGGATTTAGAAGGAAATTCGCCCCATGGGATGTCGTAATGTGCACAGACATTTCCAAGGAAATTCTAAACAGTTACCTACCCCTCTACCCCAAATTCTTAAGTCTACAGTGAAAAGCATGGCTGCATGTTGAAGGGTGTGGCACTAGAAAGGCATTGGTTACACAGTACACTGCTGTATGGAACTGTCTGGGTCCACCTGTGAAAGACAAGCTGACAAACTGTCGCTCTACTGGCCTTCTCTCCTCCAGCGCCATTTTCACCCCGGCCACTCAGTACAGTTCATGAAGATCATGTCTTTTCACTGATACTTTTTTGATAGTTTTTATATAACAAAATCCTTATTCTATTTATAACTTAAGCTAATAACGCACTATAAATGAATTACGCGATATATTTGTCTGTTATCTTTCACTATTTCTACTTCACATTACTTTCTACCTGTAAAATTGTTAAATTGATTCTTACTGTTATCTCTTTCCCTTTCTTACGATTTGAGTTTTAGCTTTATTTAAATGTCAGAGAATTTCCTTTATTAGGAACAATGTAATACATTGCAATATTTAAAAGTAAACCACTGAAATTTGCATGTCATGTATACATTTTGATTAACTTTCTATTTTCCTTAGTCAAAGGCTATGTAACTACAAATACGTCATAGCCTTTGAGCCTCCCATTCTGCCTTTGAGCGATCACAGCATCTCATCATGTTAATTCTATACTGTTTTTAAGGATTTGTGACGGATGGTTAGGGGGATATATGGAAAGTTCTTACTTTGTTAATGATCACCCATGTGTATCTACTTAGTATTGCAATGTAAATTACTCAGTTTACCAATGTATTTCAACAATTAAAATATTTTTATCCCTCTTTACCTGGATTTCTTATTTTTCAAAAGAACACTTTGAAGGAAGTCACACATAGCATTGTGATGTAGAGATACAATATATCAGTATGTAAAAATCGTAACGTATAAATAGATTACCATGAAAAACCAAAATTTTTCATAAGAAGGAAAGCATTACCTTACATATTTAGTTCATATGACAACCCTAGGGAAATCACATTGATAAAAAAATATATCAATGGTAAGAATCACTAAGAAATGACCATGATACACATGTCATTTCCGTAATGGTATTTAGGTGGGCTATCAACAGTTTATCACAGTAGGAATAACAGACGAGAGTCACTTCCTGAAAACTTTAAATTTTGAAATAATTTTAAATTTACAGAAATGTGTAAAAGTAGTATAGAAAGTTCCTATACCCTTCCCCCAGCTTCCTCTAATGTTAACATCTTACACATGGTACATTTGTCAAAACTAAGAAATTGAACATTAGTCCAATGCTGGAAACTAAACTACAGCCTTTAATTACATTCTATTAGTTTTTCTACTAATGCCTTGTTTTCTGTTCCAGGATACAATCCGAGATTCCATTGCATTTGGTCATCGTGTTTCCTTAGCCTCCTTTTCCTGGCATTTTCTTAGTCTTACCTTGTTTTTCATGACCTTGACACTTTTGAAGCCTATTGCTTGATATTTTGTAGTATTTCCCTCAATTTGAATTTGTCTGATGTTTTCTTATGATTAGACTGGGGAGAATACCACAGAGGTGACATGGCCCCTGTCATCACATCATATAATATTTCATGCTTTCAAAGTGACTTTCACTGGTGATATAACTATGATCACTTGGCTAGGAGGTGTCTGTCAGGTTTCTCCACTATGAGGTTTCTAGTTTTTCTTTTCCATCTTCTGTTCCTTATAAGTGAGTCAGTAAGTTTAGACGACACTCAAAAGAAAGGAGAATTAAGGTCTACCTCCTGGAGAAAACAATATCAAGGAATTTCTGACATTTATTAAAAGCCTTGGTAATTAATAAGTATTTTGGGGGAGATACTTTGAGACGCTGCAAACGTCCTGTTTCTCTTTAAAGATTTGCCCAGTAATTTTAGCATTCACCCTCCGATGTTGCCTGCAGCATTTATTACTGAGGTGTTCCAAAGGTGGTTTTCTACTTCCCTCGTCCCTTCAAATGTATTACTTAGAATTTCCCTTAAGGAATATTTGTCCCTTTCTCCCCTTTACTTATTTATTCAATCATTTATGTCTGTATGGACTCATAGATATTCATTTTGTTCTTTAGGTTATAATCCCATACTATCATTATTTTATTGCTCAAATTGTTTAAGCTTTGACCATTGATAATTTTTTCAGTTTTGTTCTTGACAAGCCCCATCCTTTTATCTCACTTAGGTTGTCTTTTAATAGCAAGCAGGCCTATAAAATAAAAACCCAATTCAAAAGTGAGTTGAAACACATTTCTAAAACTTTATCAAATTTCATTATAAATGAACAGTGTTTTCCATATTATGACAAGTCTTAACATTTTCCTTCAACTCGATATTTAAATTTATAACCTAGTGATTCTTATATGTTAATGATACTTGCCACCCACCTGACTATGTTTTCAGGCTAATGATTATAATCTTTATTAAGTACTGTAAGACTCTTGATTGAAAGACAGAGAAAAATAACTATTAACATTTAAGACCTTTCAAAAGAAAAGTGGGAGATTGATGAAGCCTTAAAAATGCCTGAAATTTAAGAATCATTTTCAAACAATCTATTTTGGTTTTTTGCATAATTATTATTAGAAATATATAGTGGGGAGATGAATTTCGGAGACCTTATGATTAATAAACTTGTCTTGTTAGAAAAGATTTTCTTAAGAAACCTACGCTAGGAGACATCCTCTTTATTCTTAAAGAGGATGGCAAGAGTTTCATTTTGGAAGAACTGTTTGAATATCTAGATTGTAGAGATTGGTTTCAGCAGATAAATACAACCAACTTCTGGGATTTTAAAATTGAAGACTGGCTGGCCCAATGAACCAAGTTTTTTTTCAAAAGTGATCTGGAGTAGGTTCTGGGGAGAGAGGCAGGATGCTAGAAGGTGCTAAGTTAGTACAATGGGGAAGTTGTCTCTCTGAGTTTTTGAGTTGGTAAGAGCTTGAAGAGGAAGAGAAAACAGGTTCCTTTTGGGAAATAGGAGCTTTGTGTAGTTGTATCCGTGCCCAGGGTGGTAAAGAATTTCAGGAGTGAAAAAAGTATGTAAGGAACTCATTCCCAGGAAAAGAGTTTACGTTTTATGTCCTTATTTTTATTTCATGCACATGATAAATCCAGGCAGTGCAGAATAATGTACTTTTCTATAGATTGTGTTCTTATACCCACTTCTGATTTTCAATTGTGTAGCAACCATGACCCATTGAGTTCCTGATGTGCCCCGGATGGGCTCTCATTACTAACAGGATGGCTCAAAGACCCAGTCCCTGCATTTGAGCGTTTTTAGAATAGTAGGGGTACACTGGGTAACCTGTAATGAACACATAAAGCAGTGCCCAAGGTTGGGTTACTTTGGGAGCACAGAACAGGGGCACCTATGTCATACTGGTGGGTTAGGAAACACCCCCCCGAGAACAGCGCTCTGCAGAACCATAAGGGAGATGCAAGTAAGTTAGCCATCTATAGGTGGGAGAAAAAAAAGGCTTTGGGCAGAGAACCGTAGGTGCAATGGTACAGTGCCCTGAGGGCCCTTGGCATAGCCTGGGAACTGCTAGGCGTTCATTCTGGCTGGGTGGGAGTGGGAGAGGTGGGCATGGTGAGCTTGTGAGGAGCTTCGTGGGCCCTGCTGGAACTTGCCCAGAAGTCTGTGGGAAGCCACGCGCGAGTGAAGCAGTCATGGAGCTTCCGTGCTGGGTCCCTCCCTTTACCCATCATCTGCGGGCCATCAAAAGGTTTGTTCTTACTGTTTCTTCCAACTCCTGGCTTGTGGGTCTCTCTCTGAAGGAAGCATGACTAATACGTGAAATACTATTTGTGAAGGTGGGGCTTTCCCATTTAATCTATGATACAGATATTTTAGATACAGTGGAATTTGTCAAAAGGTTTGCGTGTCAACCAAGAGCTAGGGCAGAGTTGAATGATAAGGCTTATCACCTACGCGAGACCACACCTTCAAGACTGGGAGAGGTGGGTGTTCTATCTAATGCATAGACACCAACACCGAGAGTCAAGGAAAATGAAGAAACAGAGGAATAGGTTCCAAACAAAGCATTCCATCGGGAAGAACAGAAACATTCCATTAGGGTAGGACCATGCCTCTGGCAGGAGCAGGTATAGCCAGATGCTTAGTAATTAGGTTTCTGATGATGTTGAGGCCATCCTATTGCTTTGCATATTTCTCCCATTTCTTTATCCACAAAACCATTCCAGGACATGAAGACACACTTCTTTCTCCAGTGGAATTTCTAACACCTACCTAATTTAGCAATCAAGTACATATTTTGCTTAGTCTCTAAATAGTTAATATTAAAGTACTGCAGACTCCTTAGAAGGCAGGTGCCTTGTGTATTCTTATCCATTCTTAGAATTGGGTCCCAGGGGCCCACTATGAAGAAACAGTCTTAGGTTGGTAGAAAAGCAAAATAATTCGTGACCCTCTCCCAGACTGGGATAGACTTTTGGGGCAATTGTGGTATCTTCTCTAGAACAGTGGTACCTTTTGGGACAATTTTTATGGCCTTTGGCAAGTCATTTGGCTTTTCTGCACCTTGGAAATTTTCTATGAATGGGACAAAATCTATTGTAATTCTCTTCTAAGACTGTTAGCAGATATCATGGATTCATCGATTCATTCATCCAACAATTATTTCCTGAATGTCTACTGGTTGTTTTAGGCATTGGAGATGCAGCCGTGAACAAATCAGAAAAAAGTCCTTGACATGATGAAGCTTATGTTTTACAGAGGGGAGACACACTAAGAAATCAATATTATATATGTAGTTGTCAGAGGAATAAGTTCTCCAGGGAAAACTAAACCTTAGAAGAGGGAACAGACAGCTCGTTGGGAAGGTAGGTATTGCAATTTTAATCCTAAACAGGATGATCAGGAAATTACCCTGGAAACCGGACATTTGAAGGAAAAGGCCTGAAGGAGCGGTAGCTACCCAGGTGGGCGTCCAGCGGAAAACCATTTTAAGAAGAAGGGACAAGTTAAAATGCCTCATGCAGGAGTGTGTCTGGTGTATTTGAAGACGGGCAAAGAATTTAGTGTGGCTGGGCTAAGATTACAACAGGAGAGTAATAGGAGAGGCCAGAGGGCTGCGGGGGGGGG